TTCGGCCACGACATAACTCGAGCTGCCCTCTCCAGCCTCAGGTGGTGGGATAACTTCAATAGGCTCATCCAAATGTTGAAGTGCCTCTTCGATGGTATGGCGCATTGCTCTTCCATAATTGGTCTTCTTCATTTTCAATGGAGCGGGAGGCGGTTCATCATCACTCTCGCGACCGCATTCTGGCAGGAGTCTATGGTTTCCTCTAAATTGAACTCCATCCCTCCACATACAAAATAGAGTCTATCAAGCTCACAAAACAACGAATCAAGAGGCACACAAAAGCAAAACTAAAAGAGAAAAATGCCAGAACTTACCATCAGCAGGGATAAATCCCTCATTGCTCCCTGGCTCGGGAATGACTTCAAAACCTTGTCTAGATCAAAATCTATATCTAGAAGCATTCAAGTTAATCAAGCCCAAGAAATATAGACAACTCAAAGATATTCACAAGTATAAAAATACAAGCAAGGTAAAATAACCTACCAATAGGATGATCGATCCCCACTAGCAACATATTTCTCATTGTTAGAACTGACCCTATGTCTGGTGTAAGGGGTGGAATTTTAGTCAATTGTTGGATCTGGGCCTTAAGAAGAGGGGTGATGTCGACTTCATTATTGAAGACACGAATTAAGGGATGTCTCCAATGGGTATTGAAAGGGAATTTGGCCTCATGGGGTTGAACAAAGAAGAATCGGGACTTCCACCCACTGTTGGAATTCCTAAACTTGGGAAAACAGAACGAGAACCTAGTGGTGAAGTAGACGAAGGCGTTGTATTGTGCTAGCTCATGCATCTCGAAGACACCTGAAAAGGTCCATCGAGAGTGGAATTTTCTTGCTAAGGCAAACATATAGGAAATATAGTGCTTTCCTCCACGCGTTGGGATTTATCTGGCTAGGAGTGAGGTGAAACTCATTAAATAATGAGACAAAGAAACGATGGATGGGTAATCGAAAACCACTGTCCATAATATCTTTATACACGGGCCCTTGGGGGTCGGACCCAGGAAGCCTCTCTTTGTACCTAGGGACTCTTTAAACATAATGATCCACACACTCATATTTTCTACGTGAATTTTCCAATTTAGATGGAGAATTATAAATGCTATAACACTTTGGAATCTCAAGGATCACTTCCTCACCTGCGGCATCTCGCTCTATCTCTATATTTTGGTTTAAGGACTTAGTCGAACCAATATGTCTTTTAGGAGAACTTGGTTGGAAAGTATGAATCCCAGTCGAATGGAATAGATTATCGAAATCATTGGAAATTTGAACTTCTCGAGCGGGAATATCGGCTTGGCCATTCAGATGGTCAAAGGGCTGGCCGACCCTCGACCAACCTCCTAGTTTGACCAGTCAAGGTGGTTGACCGTCGACCTGCCTCACCAGTCGACTTTCGTTAATTGGTGAGGCCGTTGTTGGCCTCGGCTGACCCATCCGATGACGGGTCGATCGATTTGCACACTCCCTCACCATCACTCTCATTGGATGAAGAAGATATGAAGGTCTTATACATGATAGTGGAAGAAAACCAAAATGACAAGTAATAAAAAAAAAACTAGGAGGATGAGAGGAAAGAGTTACCTTGAGAATTAGAGGGAGGAGAGGATTTTTTGCACAATGGGTAAAAGCAAAGCACCCACCTCTTTAAATAGAAGTTGAATTTGAATTTTTTGGGGTGGAAATTTTCCCCCAAAACCAAAACCCAATTATGGGGTGGCGTCTACCACCATGAGGCCCTCTATGTTCACACATGCCGCCTACTACCATGAGACTCTCTACGTTCATATAGGCCGCCTACTACCATGAGACCCTCTACATTCACATGGGCCGTCGACTCCCATGAGGCTGCCTACCACCATTAGGTCCCTACGTTCACATAGGCCGCCTACCATCACGAGGCCTTCTACGTTCACATAGGCCGTCTATTACTATGAACCTATCGACCACATGAGGCCGCTTATCACCATGAGACCGTCGACCCCCATATGGCCGCCTACCACCATGAGGCCCTCTACGTTTACATATGCCGCTTACCACTATGAGGTCGTCAACCACCTGAGGCGCTTATCACGATGAGGCTGCTTACCACCATGGTCGTCTACCACTATGAGGCCAATGCTACTCTTAACCATACAAATGACAATGAGCTGGACGGGAATCGCTCAACGGCAAACGTTGGCACAATCAACCGCTTGAGGAGTGGGGGGTCATCCCATCATAACATGGGGGAAGTTGGAAGATTTACGTGGGACACGTGGCACCATTAACTGCTGAACGAGTACGTTGCGTCAGGTGTCTATAAGTACCCATAAGGTGAGAAAGGTATGAACTCTTGAAACCCAAACTATTTGAATTCCAATTATACTCTCTTTCTATTTTCCTAAATCAACTACTGATTCTCACACCGGAGGTACAATGGGAGAGAAAGCCTTGATCTCATTTTGCAGGTAGCATTCACTGATCGGAGTAGCCGGAACACCCTACACGTCAAGGAGAAAGCGGAGGTCTATCTTGCTACAATTTCAAATATGATTATTCTTTCTTTTTTTTTTTTGTTAAAAACACACAATTTGAGAGATATTATTGCAAAACATAATGTTTTCAACTGTTCTTCATTGAATTAATTTCGAATTTATCAAGAATTAAATTCTTATAGCGTTCAACAATTTAAGTAAGGCTCATAAGTTTTTTGATTACGTGGTTAAGATATTGTTGGTGATTGTCTTGATTTTTTGATTCAATAATTTGTTGGGTCAAGCTTTCAAACGTTGATTCTTAACTTTCTTGGATTTGATCTAATTTGTCCCGTGTTTTGTAACTTCAATTGTTAAGTGGGTTCACATCATTGTGCTGTTTAGTCTTATTTATCACTTGTTTGGGCTCCATTTTTTAGAAAATGTATTTTTCTCTCTTTTATTTTCAATCACATATTCTCCAATAAAATAATATTATACATAAGTCAAAATTTGTTCTTATTTTTTAACCACTCATTCTTCAAAAAATCACTATTCCAAATTACATTTTTCCTCAAATTCTCATCAAAATAGGGCCCAATCAGAGGTTTAGTATTGTTGTTTTAAATTCACATATAAAACCCGCCTCCATTATCCAAATAATCATTTGAGCCGGAAGAGAAGTCCAAGACTTGATATGTTAAAATGAATAGGATTCAACACGATTCAAAATTTAGAAAATACATCAAGAATATTTGTTATTTATACTAATCAATTCAACGTATGAAAGATGCAATATATAAGCGTCCAAGTCAGGACCAGTCTAATTAAAACTGGTTAGGCACGCTCAATATCTACTTCTAAAGCTAATTTTATTAGTTATCTGATATTTCGTTTCCACCAAATTAATATAGTGTACAACATAAAATAATTCCAGGATTAATGTTAAATGGTAAGGGTTAAGTAGAATCAATGTCACAGTGTATTTATTTCTAAATTATATGAATTTATTAGTCAACTAAGAGCTATTAACATGGGGTTTAATGTAATCCTCGATTCCCACTCCTCAATAACTATATATAATTAAAAAAAATTAAATTACATGGAACCTACCATTTTGTTCATTAGTAATATATTATTATATGAATAAGGAAAAAATGTCCATCTTGTGGTTGCATCGTGGCATCCTATCCTTACTCTTACTTTTTGTTTATGTTTTATTTTTATGTGTTTAAATTTACATTGTTATTTAACAATATATTAAATAAATAACTAAGTAATCGGATGGGAAATGAGGATTATCCCCAACAGGACGGGGTAGAGGATATGGTGGGCTGACCCGCCCCATCCCTTTATCATCCCTAGTTTTTCTACATGGTTTCCATGAATTAGTAAAAAACTTGATCAATTTTCGTTCTAATTCTCAATTTTTTTTCATTTGAATTGTTAATTATGACAAGACCGCGTGATATTTATTTATTTCGACGTCTAGTTCAGTTTCCTACCTGTTAATGCTGAGCTGTTTTGAATATAAAACGAACTTCTCAATAATTTTTTTTATCAAACGTGCCAAAAGAATTACAGATAATGATATACAAGTGAGAGTTATGACCACCCATAAATCTCTCCTCCACCTTTCCTACTGTTCTTATCAAATAAGAAGCTCATAAGTTATGGTTCTTACATCAATGGCTGCTGTGGCGCGAAGCAGAAATAACCTGGATACAATCTCTTTTTAAAGAAATCAAAATATCACAAAACTCAACTCCAATCATCTGGTGTGATAACCTGAGCGCTGGAGCATTGGCAGCAAATCCCGTTTTTCACGCTAGAACCAAGCATATAGAGCTAGACATACACTTCATAAGAGATAAAATCATTGCCAAGGAATTGGAAGTGAAATATGTTCCTACTGCCGATCAAATTGCTGACCTGATGACGAAAGGAGTTTCTCATTCAAGATTTGCTTATTTGAAAGACAAACTTGGAGTAACAATAGTCCCCTCCAGTTTGAAGGAGGGTGTTGGAACTCATAGCTGAAATATCATCAGCTGACTCATCATCTTTGCCTCCAGCTCAGCAGACTCCACCTCAGCATTTAGTTGTAGTACCTGAATCTGTTAGATCACTCTCAGCTCACCATTGCAGGACCACAGGTCGTGCTACCACTCCTATAATTATGGTGCACCATTGATCAATAATTATCCATCTGTACAGCCTAGATCTTTAGCCTAGAACATTCCTTTTACTTGTATAAATTCGAGCTCACTCTCACTTGTAAAGTTAAGCTGAAATCAATTCTTTCCAGTTAAATTTATATCTTTGAATTCAGTACTTTAACTTTATTTGATAAAGGGTGAGTGGACAGAGGAAGAAGACAGGTTCTCGTTTCCCTGGATAACTTTTTTTTTTTTTTAGATCAAAGGGTTTTTTATTCATTAACTTGATCTGATCTTGTTATAAAAAGAACTGATATTTTCTAATCGTTTACTCTAATTTTATTTGATGCTTGCCATGCAGGAAATTGATTAAGTTGGTAATGCAATATGGTTCAAGAAATTGGGCTGTGATAGCTGAGAAATTGGAAGGGAGAGCAGGAAAACAGTGTCGTGAGAGATGGCTTAATCATCTTCGTCATGATATCAAGGTTTTACAATCAATCTCAATCTCACTTTCATCTCCATTTTCACTGTTTTATTTGGAGATTTTATTGTTTTGGGACTAAAAACCCACTTTTTGTTGTGATTTAGGGCTATTTATGGATTAAATTTGCTGCATATCTTCCCTAGATTTTTAACATCGTGATTCTAGATATGAAAAACTGTAAATTTTTTTTTTTAGGTTCATCTTTTAATCTATTTAGGCCCTTATTTTGTTTTGGGTGAAAATCTTCTATTTGTTGATTGATGATTCATTGAGATAATAGCTTAGGTGTAATTGTTTGAAGGCCTTGCAGCATAAAAATCTTAAAAAAAAAAAATCATGAAAGAATTTCTAGGGTTTGGCAGGTTTTTTTGCACAGTAAATAGCTTTACACAACACAACAAACTAGATTTATTATTATTTTTTTCTTATGTTGTTGAATCCGGTTTACATATATATATATTTATTGAATGTCTTTAATCTCAAAATTTTCAAAAAATTTAAACTTATTTTTTCATTCTAATTCTATGATGATTTTATGTAATTAAATGATATTTTTTGTTGAGAAAATCATTTCAGAAAGACGTTTGGAGTGAAGAGGACGAGAGGCTGTTAATCAAAGTCCACAAAAGGGTTGGAAACAAATGGGCAGAGATTGCCAAACACATCACTGGAAGAACTGAAAATTCAATAAAGAATCACTGGAATGCGACGAAAAGAAGACAGATTTCAAAGAGAAAAATCAAGAAACCAAGAGGGGTAAATGGAAAACGACAATCAACCCTGTTACAAGATTACATCCAGAACAAGTATATGAACAATGGTTCTGGCTTCATACCCACCTCAATCAACTCAGATGAGGCTGCCATCACCATTACTCCTCCCAGCTCCACCGTGCCTGAGGCCGAGGGCCAGTCTTTTTTTACTTTCGAAACATGTGAGGAGGAAATAAACTTCATGAAAAACCTATTTGGAAACAATGATTCATCCAGCAATGCTTCAATGGTGCAAAGCCATGCTGTACCCTCCTGCTGCATCAGAAACAAACATGCAGATTAATCAAGATGCATTTCTTTATCCTGATTTGTTCGATTTAGCCATTGGCTTAACTTTGAATCTGCCAATGAATCAATTTCCCTCCTTTGCAGGCAGAATGGATGGGGATTTAATGGGAATGGTTTCATCTTGCCAGCTCTCCCTTCCAAGGGTTTATCAATAATAGCATTACTATGTAATTCTTGTCCTTATGCTTTAAACAGACAAACTTATTTTGGTTTCTTTACTGATACTTTGATTGTCTGTTTGATTAGCGTAATGAAGCAAATAATTAGATAAAATCTTATCTACTTTATTGTCGAGTATGTCTTATCTAATATTATGAATCAAACATCAGTTCTCCTAGTCAATGGCTAATTAATAATGGCTTTATAATTATCTGCTTCTTGTCCTTTTGCTTATGATTTACTTAGAACTAATATTTTGTTCTTTCTTGATGGCTTGATGGGATGTTTCTGAGAATAATAAGATAAAAAACTTATTCATTACACTGTCATTTAGAATGGATGGAAACTTTTAAGACATTAATATTTCCATTTCAAGCGTGTTTAGGAAACCAAAACTCTTCAAAAAAATTGTAGAAAGTTCAAAATAGAGTTTCCTAATTTATTTTAATATAAGTAAAATTTAAAAAAATGGAAAATACTTTATGAAAAGTTTCAGGAAACTTTTGACAAAAATATTTGAAAGCTTGGATTAAGAACTGTGCACTATAATGGACTTTTGTGGGCTTCAACTCGGAAGGAACTTAGTTCCGATCTTCAAAAAATAATTTACAATACTTCATATTATAATTTCTAACTACAATAAAACTAACAAGTGGCCTTAAAAAATAAATTTGACTTGTAATTAGAGTTCAAATAAATATTTAGTTTACAAAATGAATTATAATTTTTCAACCTTTTTATAGTGTTTCGTGTCTTATTTTCTCAAAAATAGCATTTTCAATTGTATTGTAGTATCACATTTTGACTCCCGTTTCCGTTTCTATGGAACTTAGACCTTAATAAGTTCATCGCATTGAGTAATGATAATCATCATTAGCGTGATCATCCTGTTTAGGTGGCGTGGGTCTCATAATTTATTGTTCAATGAAGTTGTGATGTATTTTAATGCGCTGAACAAGAAATGGAGCCCACTGCCACCTCGATCGATGATGACTCACACTAATGATGAATGGCATTATTTCAAAAATTCTACAAGATTCAGACAATCTATGTGTTTTCTTGGTCTCTAATTACTATAGTTGTGTTAGAATATTTGAATGATTGTGCATTCTTATTTTTGAATCTATGCATTTTTCTAGTCTCTAATTAATATAGTCGCGGTGTTAGAAAATATGAATGATTATATAGTCTTATCTAATACTTTGAACATACCAAAATTGTCAGGACGTTTCAAATCTGTTTAGAATTGCAGATAAGTAATTTGGGGGTAAGATTCAGAAAATCTTAAATTTTTTGGTGTGTTAGAAAATGTGAAGGGTCTTTGTTTGTTCTTGACTTGTGTCATGTGTTCCTTACTATGTATTAGTTTTATATTTTTCGGTTTCTAGTGCCAAAATTCTTTAGTTTCTTCCGAAGTTTTTCTCTGTTTTATTTTTAATCTTCCCTATGACTCGAACTTTGTTCCTTCCAAGTGAGAATTGGTTAGCACATTTACTGACTCAATGTCGATATCACAAAGAATTAGGTAAGACTTTTTAGATCAATTTCAGAAATTGAGAAGTCGTTTGAATACGAGAAATTAGCAGTGGATTGAAATCTAGTCCGATTACATTTGAAACATTGAGCCTTGCTTGATGTCAATGAAAATCAAGATTTTAATTCCAATCAAAGTTAATAATTATTTTTAACCACACATTTTATGAGACCCACAACTTTTCAAGTACACAATTCATGTGCTATCAAAATTTGCTAAAAACTGATTTTAATACGCACTAAATAGGGGCTGAAACTAAATAAAATAAAAATAAATAAAGAAGTCTCATAATGTTAACCCTCGAAATAAAGTTCGCGAACCCAACTAATCATTGGCGAAGCGAAAGACGACATGCGAGGGGAGGAAAAAGGTGAAAGTCTCACCTAAAGGTCACTTGCCATTTTTCGTATCTAGTTTGATTATAGACTGTCAATAAAGGACAAGTGAGCAATTGAGCAAAGCATGATTCATAACTGAATCTGCTAGAACATAGTTAACAAAGAGTCGCTATTTGGCACATTGTAGAAATGACCAAACTACCTCAACGCGTGGAAGGAAATCTATAAATACCCTGGCATTTGAAGAAGAACATATGAAATTTAGATATTTCCCTCTCAAATAGTTATTTCTCCTCATGTTCTAGTTGAAGCACCAAGACTAATAAATTTAGGATGCGAAAGTCTTAGGTCAGAGGATTTGTTGATTGTATTTACATTGATATTCGATTGTAACTATTTCATCAATAAAATCATTTGATTCAATTTTTATTTTCAATAAATTGACGCCGTATGTGAAAAACTTGAGTAAAGTAGACCATGAATTATCACGCTCCAGCTAATGGATACTTGGAATAAAAGGAAATGAAACGAGTAAGGATAAATCAACCATCAGCTACAGTACTCAGGAATGAAATCCAGAGAGTAGCATTGCTATAGTAAATAGAAGAGTAAATTCGGCGGTAAGAAAATCCAAAAAATGGCCGATGATCTAAAAGCACTAATGATGGAGCACGCTGCTCTTTGTACGAAGATACACAACTTGGAAGGCAAGCGTATGTGAAAAGGTAAATGTACAGGTAATGCACAATCCTTAACCTCGTTAATTACATCTATCGAACCTAAAATCGAAGTTTCAGGCGTTAAAGAAGAGACAGTCGTGATATGTGCAATAATAACAGTAAATGTCTTCATCCCAGAATCTTGGACAATGAGCGTACAGAAAATGTACTATACTATGAAACATTCGATCGGATACGAAAGAGTAACCTTTGGATTCCAGTGACGGATCCTTACCGTTTCACCAGAAGAGGCCAGTCCTTCGCTGATTTGTTAATGAAGATAGAAAATAAGCCCCATGCCTATCAAGGACACATTAATTTTAACATCTTCAAGGGTAAATCCGCACATGATGAAATCCTTGGAAAACTTAACTTGGAGCAAACGAACATAATCATCTCTCTCCATCATTTGAATGTGATATATTCCACCAATAAAAATGAAATATCTTTAAATTACAATCCAGAAAACTTACACAGGAACTATAAAAGCAATAAAGGAGACATCAGAGCTGTTAGAAATATTGTTTCTATAGTTGAAACGAGTAACCCCGAGGATAAATTAGAAATTGATGAGTCTATCGACCCTCGCATAACTGAGTGTACAATAGTAAAGATAGCATTCAAAGAGCTAGAAACACTACAACAAAAATACTCTTTTACAACACTTAAAAGGCAACATTTGTTGATAAATGTTGCTAAAAGGGTCTTTTGGCAACATTTTAGTAAGTGAATATTGACATTGGTACTAATAAATGAGTTTTGACAACGTTTTATAGAAAAATGTTGCGATAGACCCCTTTTTGCAACATTTATTGAGTATTGCGAAAAGTTTTATTTTTCGCAACGTTTGCTAAACGTTGCAAAAGAAAAGCCTTTCGCAACGTTTGTCAAATGTTGCGAAAAATAAAACTGTTGACAAACGTTGCAAAAGGCTTTTCCTTTGCAACGTTTAGCAAACGTTGCGAAAGGTCGCAACGTTTGACAAACGTTGCAAAAGGCTCCTTTTGCAAGTTGTGAAAAGTGAGACCTTTCGCAACGTTTGCTAAATGTTGCAAAAAAGTTCACTTTTTGCAACGTTTGTTAAGTATTGCGAATTGTTTTTTTGTTTTTTTTTTTCCTCCAATGGGCTCAAATTGCAGAAGCCCAAAAACCGCCCCAAACCCTAGCTAACATTACAACTTAACATAAGTCATTTTACCCACAGAATTGGAAGAAATCGCAGCCTGAAACTCTTCATTCTGTCGAAATCACAACTTCCGGCCACACCCATGGCGTCGGACCTACACCAGTCGATGCCCCTTACTCAGACGACCATAACCAAGGTCTCAATTCATCCCAATCATCCCTCCAGCTGCACGAATCTTTTCCAGAAAGATGCCCAGTCCTTGTGAGCTTAAAATTATAAGAAAATGGCTGTAAATATAACCAACCAAAATCCTTGTGAGCTTAAAATTTCATTTTTCTCCTCTCTCTTGTCTACAAAGAACTGCCACTACTATAGAACAGAGATTCTCAAAATTTAAACTCTAGGGTTTTAGAAATTGTTCCAGCAGAAAAGCTTCAATGAGCGACTCAAGAGAAGATTCTCCTGACTGGTTACGCTCTTTCCAGGTGCTTTTAATCGTATTTATCTCATATTTAATCAGATTTTAGTTAATTAGGTGCAAGATATGCTATGGGACTTTGTGATTCCATTTTCACTTATTTATCAATTAACGCGATGCCCTGTGCAAGAGCTTAATTTTTAGTTAATTAGAGTCAACCATA